GTATTGGGCCAACACAGAGCTAAGCTTTTTCCGATAAATACCTTGATGTGTCTAGATTAGGTCTTACACAATGCTTACTGCTGATTGCAATGTAATTCCACAATCTTCAAAGTCCCTTTAAACCACCTGTTCTGAATCTGACATAACTCTTTCTGGGTAGACCAATATAATATAGTCCATGCTCAATTTGTATGACATGAACACACATTTTAAATGTGTGTAACAGTATTGTGATTTATATTTTTAGTCAATCATTTGTTTTATGTATATAGTTTTTATAAAATAACACTTGGTGGGGAATAATAATGCTTGGTTCCTAGCCTACAAGGATGTAATGGTAATTCATAAGAGTGACAGATTGACACTAATGATTCACGTCATTTTCATACTTGAACCATTCAGTGTGTTTCATAGCAACACATTTTTATGTCTCTCTACTCAATTAGTTTTTCCCAACTCTCTATGAAAGGCACTTAATGTTACCGACATAAGCTCATCATACCTCCATAGAAACAAAAGCTAGCTGTCAGAAACTGTGAGAACAATAATGTGTCGCTCTCTATGTCTGTGCCTGGTTCTACTTGTTTATTGTTTGTTTATTTTGTTATGGTTTTGTGCACAATTCATTTTTTTAATACACATGCCTAACTAAATAATATACAGTGCAGGAAGAGGCCCACTGGACTTATTTCAAACCTCAACCTAATTGATGTTAAAAGATCACTATGCTCTAAGTCTAAAGAACACAACATTCATATTTGGTAGAGAGCATTACTAACAAGTAGTTGCTGTGCCAGTTTTGAGCCAATGGAGGGTGTATTGATTATTGTAAACACTGGTCTAACAGCAAAGCCAAATGCTTTGTAAACACTGGACCACAAAGAGCACTGTGAGCAAGAAAAAAACTTATCAGGCTGCTTAACGCTAGCTTTAACTGGAGTTAATGACCATGACTTTGGTCATTAGGGTCATTTTGCAAGTTGCTTATTACAGTAGCGTGAGTGGAAGCATATGACAACAAGGGTATTATTTTCCATGTGCAGATTAACTCTACTTCCCATATTGTGCTGTTGTTGTACATGTCGTGAAACAATGCATACTCTAGCAGGATGAAGCATTTCAAAGTGCTGTGATGTTCTTGAAGTACTTTAATTCAGCCTATCTTGAGATATCAGTATAAATATAGTCCCTTGTGGTATAGCGAGTGAGCCAGAAAGCCAGTGTGTTACAAGTCTAAGTGCTCTGACGCCTATATGGGCCCGTGATTTCAGACTATATCAGATCCCAGACAAGCTATCAGATGAACTCTTTCTACAGGATGCAGAGACAAAGCGCACTGGGTGCAGCTCAGTCACACTCAGAATCCATTACTAGGCGCTGTACTTACTCCTAACTGAGTTTCCATTGAACCCTAGCAGGGCTCAGCGCAGCTAGATGTCAGGCTGTTACCGTAACAGGTATCTCAGCAACACTAACTGATGCACCTGAGGAAAAAAACAAGACATAGTGCATACAAACTAGGATAAATGGCAGACAACTGTAACATTTTTACAGAAAAGTTTCTACACTCGGCTGAAAGTTGGGGTATCAAAAAAGAAAAGGCAACAGAAAGAGACTTTTTGATATTGTGGTGCCTGCTTCTGCTTCCTCTGCTCTAAGCTTCCATGCTGCGCTGCTACTCGCTTCTCATTGTAACCACCTTGTTTTGAGTCGAGACAGTGTACTTTGATTTATATTACCTCCCTCTCTATCACTATATCACCTAATAAAAACACACCAGGGTACACGTAGATAAAAAGGGACAAATGAATCAATTTAGGTGGAAACAGTCATTAAATGAAGTGCAGAGCTGCTTGTGCTTCATAAATGATGCAATCCTGTCAACTTACATGCCCTGATTCACATATTTGAATTCCCTTAACTTGGACAACATTTTTAAATCTTTTATGTAGATGTCCAATAAGGGTTGATGGTATATGTAGTCCATTGAAGCATTCAACTTGATTTAGTCAATGTAGCACACACTGAGGGATATACTGTATAGCTCCATGGACCTCATTTACCATCAACCCTGATTGGACCTAACCTAAAAGGTTGCAAATGAACTCTTTAATAATAACCTGTGTCTTTTTGGTTGTACACACTCTCACACGAGCATTTCGTCCTGTAATGCTAACAGCTAAAGCTGAATAGTCTCTCTGCAACATCTCCAGTCATTCTGACAAGCTCTCTACAAATGTTGTTCTTCATGCCTTGACTTCTTCAATAATGCATTTTACTACAGGGCTTTATATAGTACTATGTTTGTGTGTAGGAGTCACTGGAAGTTTGTAAGCCATCTGAAATATATAGGATACCTTGAAAGGAGCCTTGAAGAAAAGGATGGATACCAAGGCAAAGAGAGGAGAAGGAAGATAAACAAGAAAGATAAACAGAATGGTGAAAGAAGAAGATATGTACCATAGAGTCTGGAAAAATCCTCCGAACATAAACCCTAACCCACCCACCACCTCAGGTAAACACTGAATGGGAGAAAGACAGGATAGAAATGGAGGCAGAGCAATGGAGGATTATCAAGGACAAAGAAGGACGTTTGCCACAAATATATACGATGTTGGGGGAAGGGAACCAATAGAGGAGACGACCAGCTGTTATTTACAGAGGCTGACATCAACAGTGTGTCAACCTGTGTGATAAAGAAGTTATGAGCAGATTTCACACGACAGACAGTCCTTCATTGTCATTACTTCAAAGGGTACTACAATAGGCTGTAAATTACAAAGCAATTTGATACAGTGCCATGAAGTTGACAAGGGGCATTATTATTCATCGATGCATACTTTCACAACCTCCCACCATTTCTACTGACACTGATGTGCTAATATGATATGCTGAGAGAAAAACACAATAGCAGATTAAAATATGCGTCGTTTGAAGATGATTTGCTCTCAACATGCAGAATATTGCTTTTGGCGAGGTACACTGGATGCATAATCAAGTCCATTTTCACAGGAAATATACTTGCATGCTTCCTGTGAGTTTAGTGTGTATGCTACAAGTTAATACAAAATGTTTGACAGTCTTTGTAATGTGGCATTGCCAAGTGTTCCTCCTCAGTCTGTGAGTCAGAAATATTCTCCTGCAGGTTTCTGGACGCCTGACATAAGTTTCCTTCCCTCTGTCTCTTAACAACACATCCCAGTAGAAAGCCCCTGTTTCCCCTCCTCTGCTCTTACTCTACTCGCTCTCAATTCTGCCCGGTACCCAGCCAGCCAATCACAGAGCAGAGATAGCTGCAAACACACTTCCTCTGCAGCTGCTTTGCTTTGGAAAAATGCTAGGAAGTCCTACAGCTAGATTCTCAAATGAAAACCTTGAGGCGTTTACACGTGTTATTTATATTTTAAATGATGAAATGCGCCTCTGTGTGTGTGAGGAAGAGATTAAAGGGAGAGGGAGTGTAGATTATTATCCACTTCACATTGGACAGTGGATTTGACAACAAAGCCGGCAGACTGTACAAAGGGCTGTGGCGGTCGCTAATCTGTCATTAAGGCTGCTGCATTTTCCCTGAATTGCTCTTTTTTTATAGTCCACACAAGAGATGTACGCACACACACACACACACACACACACACACACACACACACACACACACACACACACACACACACACAGGCATACATGGGATTAGTGTGTAAGCCGTCAATAGAGGGCACTATTAAAAGAATGTTTTCTCTCATTACACGAGATGAACCCCATCGTCTTGTCCCGATTGTGTCGGGGGCTAATGTTTGTATGGCCTGGCTGTCGCTGCTCACTGCCCCTGCTAGCTTGTTTAGCTTGTTATGCTAAGTGAGGCTCACTGGAACATGGGTTGCTGTTAAACTAAACCCCAAGAGCTAGGTGTGTCAATGATCATATTTAAGATACGCCTTTACTTTGAAATTCCCATGACACTGACAAATGACACACCTTTCTAAGCATTTAACTAAATGTCTAAGTTGCTTTGGATAAAAGCGTCAGCCGAATGAAATGCAATGTAATGTCTTATTGTTTACAAAGAACCAATATAATATTATTTCATGATAATGTTTGCGGTTTACACCCTTAAAAACCAAGTGCTGCTGATCTTGTTTCCGTGATTTAAAACAACATTAACTTAACCTCATGACATATACTTTACTTCCACATTACTGGATTTAATTATCTTCTAGAGATGTTGGGCCAAACTCAATAGGGATCATACACAGTCATAGGTACATATTCCCTGCAAGGAGACATATTTGCTCTTCCCTGGTGACAGCACTTCAGAAACTGTTAAAAACATAGAAAGTAGGGCGACATCAAACACAGCAAATAATGGAAAGCTCTTTACTTTTCTCCTAATCTTCTCTGGCTAGAAAATTGCCCGAGAAAAGAGCTTCAGGGTTGTCATTGTCAGAATATTGAACACTTTCTAAAGTGCAGTCTGAGCTCCTGTCAGCATGCACTGGAGGACAGTTGACAGGTTTGTGAGTTTGTGTAGGCGTGTGTTTGTTAAATGAAGCCCCACAACACAGATAGCAAGTTATTTTTGGTTGTGAAGCATTATAACATCATTAAAGCTGCCTAAACTTGACTAATAAGGATAATCTATGATGTGACTTGCTTCCTGTTTTAGCGTGCATGAGTTTGCAGTGCAACTTGACTCACATGCTTTCCATTCATCCATTGACGTTTTGAGTTGCAAATGAGTATTCACATTAGCAAGTGACTTTAGAAGTGGGTGCGTGAACATGTGTTGATAAAGTGTGCAAGCTTGTCATGCAGACAACTCGTTGACTTTGAGGCGAGTGGAGCTCCTCTTCATCATCCTCTCACTCTCTTCCTTCACACTCACCATGAATGCTCGCTAATACGCACCGTGCATATGCTCCCTCTCTCGCCGTCACTTCCTCCTCTCACGCTCCGCAGGGTGACTCAGTTCTCTCTCTCTTTTTCTCCTTTGTCTCTCTTAGATCGCATCTGATGCCCAGGCTGAAGGAGTCTCGCTCCCATGAGTCATTGCTCAGCCCCAGTAGCGCTGTGGAAGCCCTGGACATAAGCATGGAGGACGAGGTCGCCATCAAGCCTGTTCACAGCAGCATCCTCGGGCAGGACTACTGCTTTGAGGTGAGGGGGGCTCACACACACATGCAGTACTGTACACACAAATACTATAGAACGTCCACACCTCTGGCTCTACTTCATTATAGCGCCAACATACAGTTTTAAATCTGGTGTTGCTATTTCAGGCATCCTATTTCAAATGATCCCCATTATTATCACCATTGACAATTATGAGTGACAATTCTCAGTACAAAAAATAGGCAACTCGAAACATATTTTGGTCAGGCTTATTCACTTTAATATTAATTGTATATATGCATTTTTTACGTATTCCTTACGTAATATATCACTGTCTTCTTTCATTTTATGTCGATGTATTTTTAAGTATGTCGACCAATTGGAGGACCCTGGGAATAAAGATGTTCCTTTTATTCTGAATATGACAATAAAGCCTTTAAATCTTAAATGTAATGGTAAGGAGCCAGAAAGGCATTTAAACGTACCCCCTTACATTTTTGAAATGCCAAAATATGCACTGTTGGAACAATCATTTAAAATCCAGCGAAGACATTCACTTTCTATTGAGACTCCAATTTTTGATGAACAGTTTACAGACAGCTTTTCTGCATTGCATAACAGAAGCAAATGCCTAAATTTTTCTGGTTGTAGAAAGTAAATGGAAGCACAGCGATCATTTGTTTCAGTCCCTGGCTTTGTGAAAACTGATGAATCGTCATGATCATCAATGGACTGAAGTCATTTCCAACGAATTACCTCTAATTACTGTAGGATTCACGTGTGCACAAACACATATATGCATACGTGCAGCTGGGGGCCTCGGGTGGGGGAAATGACTGAATACTTTGAATCCTTCACTCTCTTCCGTAGAGAGCAGGAATCTTCACTAATCTTCATTATCCTGCTCATTACATCACGCCGCTGGTTCTTTTCTCACTCCTTTCTGTTCGCTCTGCGTCCCACTGTGGGTTTTTTAATGATCCAGTCATCATCCCGTCTGCCACGCCACCATCGCCGTCCATTCACACATTCAGTCATCCTCAACACTGCCAAGTCATCCTCATTGTGTCTGTGTTGATAAGCTTCTCTGAGACAAAGTGGTATTTAAGGACTAAGTTTAGTAAAACATTTTGTTCTCCATAGGTCACCACCTCCACAGGAACCAAATGTTTTTCCTGCCGATCATCCGCAGAGAGAGACAAATGGATGGAGAATCTGAGGAGAGCTGTGCAACCCAACAAGGTAAATACGAAGCGGGTGGGACGATACTGCGTGCCGCAATCACCGCTAATAAGTTCATGCCCGAGTGTGCCAATACCACACCACGCTTTGCAACATTGGTTATCATAAAGACAGTGAGATACACGGTGTTGAAATTGTGTTGTAACTCCAACAACAACGCAATCTGATCTGTGGCCTCCAGCTGTGCCCTTCCTGCATGCACACAGAGGACACAGAGGTTACATCGTGCTCTGCTCCTGAGCATTGATACCATCTATTATATGACAGACACAGCTGTGGCACAAGCAGAGTTGCATCACGTATCAAGCCGAGAAAATAGTCCTCCTCTCACAGCTTCATTATCTAGTAAATCTCCCTCATTTGAAAAAAACAATCCTTAAAGATCAAATGCAAAGCTTTTTGTATAATTGCCAGTACAATCGAAATCATATAGCTACAACACTATCTAAGATATTGCAGTATTAAAATCGGAGATAATATGAGTCTGGCAATGCGCAATATTAATTTTGTTCAACCCCCAACACCAAGTCCGACGATTTATTTTCTCCGCCGCTCCTCCGCAAGATGGCGGCGCGTGACGTCAGATGTGCCAAACATATTTCCACCTGGCTTATCAATCACAGCGGCTTCCGCCGATAGTACAACTAGTTTCGTCTATCATGTCTGATTCTGAGTAGACTATAGACTAAAAGCTTTAGGAATCCAAACTATAACATATAATAAGTACCCTGTATCAAGATTGATGCAAAACAAGTGGAATTTGACCTTTTTAGAGAGGTTTAGAAAAATAAAGTCCAGGCGCTCTGAGTGAGCCTCTGAATTAGCCCCGAGCGAAAAATGCTCACAGCGGCTTCCGCCGATAGTACAACTTAGTTTCGTCTATCATGTCTGATTCTGAGTCGGAGGCCACCCAATATCTGGAGTATGTTGTCGACATCCAACCATATCTATACGAGCCTCTGATGTCGAAGAGGAAATACAAGGAAACGTCACCTGATATCACCGATGAAAGTGCTGATGGCGATGATTCAAGTTCGCCATCTGAGGAAGAGGCCGAGGGTGCTGAGAATTGGTGTAGATGTGGAAACGGCCAGACCATGCCTACAAGCCGAGAAAACAAGTGCTGCCACAACTATGGGAAAGTGAAGGAAGAGATGGGAGAAGAAGTCTGCATCACTGACTGTAGGACGTTCGACATTTTCCGTTATGAGTGGAGGAGCGATGAATGAGCTGCAGATAAACTACAATGCTAACAGTGAATTAGCCCCGAGCGAAAAATGCTAACCTATCACTCCTAGCGCCCTTATTACTTATCCTAGCTCCACATCCAACACATTGTTTATGATCGTAAAGACACAGAATCTAACGGTGCCCACCTCTATAAGCAATAAAACTGCAATTCCGTTATCTGCGTTATCTGCTGTGCTCCGTGCGCTTTGAAATCTAATCAAAAGTTGTTTACCTCAATTCTTTGGCGTTTCTGCATCGCCCGGCTCTTTCGTTCTTTCAGTGGTTTCTTGTGCTGAAATATGGAGGGGACGGCTCCGGGTTTCAGCCTCCGACGTGCTATTAATGTTTCTCCACCAACAGACTTCATGATAGCAGGATCAACGTCGTATGCATCACACGCGAAGTGGTCAGAACACAACTTGCTCCATTTTGTCGGTTGCCATCCAACACGATTCACTAAAAAAAATCCATTTTTTGCGGATGATTTGGTCTTTGGGAAATGCATGTAAAACTCTCCCAGATCCCGCACCGTTCGTACAACAAAAAGCTCAACAATAACCCATGTTAATTCAGTTTTCTTTTCGAAAAACATGTGACCGAGACTGCCGAGTCGGGATGTTTGGTCCAGAGACTGTTTGGCCACTAATACGTCACGTGCGCGGAGGCTGCTGGGAATTACATGTCAGAAATTCAGACGGCTTTGGGTCGAGTTTTGGATCAATAAAAAGCTTTTTTTTGGATGTATTATCTCGATTTAAATAAAATAAAAAATACAGGCAGTCTTAAAAACAACATTTCTATAAAATGTAGCATATTTGGAAGCTTTGCATTTGATCTTTAATAACGTTGGAGGCCTTCTCCTCGGCTATTTTTGGCAAGGAGGTGTTTATATCCATCATCCTTTGCTTTGTGTTTTTTAATTATTCTATGATTTTGAGGGATTAGATGCAATATTTTTGGCAAGCATACAAACTGGAATCAGATAGCGGGATTCTTTGAGATGAGAAAGTCTCAAGAGTTGTATTTAATTGATTAAACATATTTTGCACTGCTAGGAGAGAATATTAAAGAGGCCCTGTTATGTTTTTGGGGGTTTCTCTTCCCTAACATAGTGACATCACTGCGTAATCTATTCGCTAGCAATCCAACACATTGTACCTGATAGGTTAAGGGGCGAGAAATCTCTAAGTGGTTGACCAATCACAACATAGCCGGCCAGCTAACCAATCAGAGCAGACTGGGCTCTGGTTTCAGACAGAGGGTGAAAAGAGGTGCTGCAGCACAGGCAGAACATTAAAGCATGGAGACATGTCACTGTAGAGGCACTAAATACTAATATGACAGTTATAAGGCATAATAGGGGCCCTCCAAGGTAACACACCAATGTACACACACTTATAATATCAAGACTATTCATCCACTAATGGGTAATAAAGGTATCAAATAAATAACATTGTAATAACTCTAACAGCAAATGTTGCTCCTTGTTATACATCTTAATATGTAACGATCTACAATGATAAAGTACATATTGTTCGACAGAGATGAATCTGACGGGGCATTATGCAGGACCCAGACGACTCCTCCTGTTTCTGGTTTGAAGCTCAGTATTTGTTTCTGGGACCTCGCCTGAGAGATTATTTTCCTACGCTGGTGCTCGACAGAAGGAAGAAGATGCTCATATAGTTCAAATATGGAATAACAATGGCAATAAAAAATCGATGCAGTGACTTTCCACACCTCTTTACCAGAGATGTAATCACTGTAAATGGGATTATGTGTTCTAAATGATAAACCTGAGCAATTTAGCTCGTGTATAAGAGGATCATTATGGGTGATTATGATAACAGGCTATTAACACAAGTATCCTCTTTCTAGGCTTGTGTTTAATTGGTAATACATTTCCGTGTGACATAATAACCCAACGTTTAATTGGTGATGTGAGGCGTGATGAACCCAAACACTTGACCTCCTATTGTTTGACAGATCAGCCTCTCTACTTATCTCCCATCTAATGCATATTTTGGACAGTTTAGAAACACCTGATATTTGGATGAAGAGACAGAAACATGTGACATCAATTATTTTAATTACATTCTTCTCAAGCATAGCTACCTTTATTTCCAAAATCCACTGGCGTCCTTGTGTTTATGTAAGGCTCTGGTGTTTCTCTCTAATGTTGTAATTATGTGCTCCTTTTTCGCTCTCTTCGTCTTCAGAGGTCATTTTCAAGGCAATCTGAATAATAGTTCAAAAATATGCCCTGCTCTTGGCAACAAATCTATTGGTGACACAAGAATGGGTTAGCACTCTGTGAAATGGTGTAGGAGTACAATTTTCTTGCTCTCTAAAATATTGAAAATGCGGGAGATCAAATATTTATAATTATCAAGTACTTTCTGAGATGTTTCTGTCATTTAAAATGGAGAAACTTCGACATCAAGGTTAAAGGAAATTACGCATTTGTATGTTATCATTTAACTTCTGAGGTCATTTGATTTATTTAGTTTTAACGTTGGTTACTTTCAGCCATGTGCTCCAACTAGAAGCCATTTTGAACCTTTTCTCTTATAAACTTCCCTGTGGAGATATTTTTGGAAACTGTTATAGAGGCACTATTTAGCTTTTCCTGGCTTTTCCCTTCCCTGTAGTGTAGTAATTAGTAATATAGGTTTGTGTGCATGTAAATGGTCTCAAAGGATAAAATCCCTGTGTTCCATCAAGAGGGAGTTGGTAGTGTATAGCATACCTATTTACCACTCGCTCCTACACATTGTACATGAAATGGGCGGGACATCTCTAAGCGGTTGTCCAATCACAACAGAGCCTTCCACTTTCAGACTGGGTGAAAAGAGGTTCTGCAGCACAGGCAGTATGAGAAAAATAAAGCGCTTTTTGAACATTAAAGCATGGAGACATGCCACAGAAAAGGCACAAAATACATATGAACCTGAAAATAAGCTTAAACTGTTAAGAAACCGTACTAACCGACTTCCTTTCCTCCTCTACAGGACAACAGTCGTCGGGTGGAGAACCTGTTAAAGCTGTGGATCATCGAGGCCAAGGACCTGCCTGCCAAAAAGAAATACTTCTGCGAGCTTTGTCTCGACGACTCTCTCTACGCCCGCACCACCTGCAAACTCAAGACTGACAATGTTTTCTGGGGCGAGCACTTTGAGTTCAACAACCTGCCAGCTGTCAAGAGCATCACAGCCCACCTGTACAAAGACACAGACAAGAAGAAAAAGAAAGATAAAAACAATTACATTGGACTCGTCAATATCCCCATCGCCGCGGTTACCGGGCGACAGTTTATGGAGAAATGGTATCAGGTCAGCCTGCCAAACCCACCTAAGGGAAAGACCTCCGGGCCTATGATCAGGATCAAGGCCCGCTATCAGAGTATGAACATCCTTCCCATGGAGATGTACAAGGAGTTTGCAGAGTACACCACCAACAACTACATGCTGCTGTGCTCCGTGCTCGAGCCTGGGATTAGCGTGAAGAACAAGGAGGAGATGGCGTGTGCGCTGGTGCACATCCTGCAGAGCACCGGCAAGGCTAAGGTAAGAACCCAATATATGATTTATTTCCATTTTACCCTCGTTTGAACTCTCCAAGGAGACATACCAGATAAAAAAACATAAAATGAAACCATTATTCTGCTTTGAGGCACTGACAAGATATTATGAGGTTAGCAATTCCTCCGCCGCCTGCTCATGCTATGAACTATTGACCCCCCAAAGCTGTAATACAGAGCAGACAAAGAGCAGACAGACGGGTGATTTCCTCTTGCTGCACCAGCCGGTATTACATTTTTAACTCAAGCTAATCCCTTACATGTATCCCCCGCAGTGCTTCACGGCATACCGATGCAGGACAGAAGCACAATGTTTCCACCGCTGTCTGCAGCAATGAAGCACAGGGAGATTAGTCTGCCACAGCAGGAGCCACGTCTCCCTGACAGCAGGCAGTTGGGCTCAGATAATCTCACATCCAGCACGAATGGCTGTATTTGACTTCATTGTAACAGCACAGCGTTTGCCTTTTGAGTGCAGGGAAACAGACGCAGGCATTTTTGACCCTGCATAACATCAGCATGGGGCATGAGAGGCAAAGTTGTCTTATTGGCTGCTGATAAAGAAAGGGATATAGAGAAAATGAAAGCTGAAATTAACCAGCAAATTTCACTCAGATCCCAAGCATATATTATTACAGACCTTTTTTTTTATCAGCACATAGGCTCCTGTTGTTTGAAAAAGCTGTCTGCTTTTAGAGTCATATTTCTTCAGTCGGCTTTCTTCACTGCGGCCTCGACGCTTCGTCTTCTCTCTTCACTGCGGCCTCGACGCTTCGTCTTCTCTCTTCAGTCGGCCGCGACAGCTTGTGCCTCAATTTAGTTTTCTATTTGACAGCATCTCATCAGCAGAGCTTTGAAACTTTCTCTGACTTTATCTCAGCTCAGCGGAGTGATGAACGATCAGTGCCTAAGAAGTGATGTCTATCCACACTGTACCGCCGGTTTAGACTCAGGACTGATGGATGCTGATGGAGGGGGGGGGGCTGTTCTGGTCTCCTGAGAGGTGCCATGTCCTTAATTACCTTCAATTAATCCACAGTTTTCCAGCACAGCTCTAAAACTTTTACTTGTCTCATCCCTCCAAGTCTTCAATGCTAGCTAGTGGATGTGCTGCAAAATGAATCACTGCTTTTTATTGAAATTACATATATGGATTAGTGCAATATTCTAAGATATATATATCTATATATATATAGATATATATATACATACTACTAGCACAATATTTGTAAAGGCTAGTTATGTGTTGTAACACCATTTTTTGTGAAGCTGCAAAGATATGTCATACAAATCATAGTCAACGGATAAAAAAAACGTATTTGATTGGTACAGATCCTCTTAAAAAAGTCACCTTATGTTCATGTAAATATGTTTTTTAATGATATTGAGAAAAATGATGCAAAATGATCAACTCCTCAAATCGTAATCACTAAATCAGTCAAAAATAGTCATGATGAGTTGAGTTTTTACCTTCACGTTTTGCAGCCTTAGAGCTGCCTTTAATACACAATAGATATCCAAGGTTGCTCGTAATGAGATTGACCCGCATACATCCCATTTATGTTCAAGAAAAACAAAGAACAAAAACAAATCCTCTTCATTTTCTCATTAGCTGGCAGTAAATACAAAGACGAGCTGTTGTTGCCTCTTGAGAAATAGGCAAACAGAAGCAGTCGGATTGACGTAAACAGGAAGCATTAATGAAAGCTGCTTTAGAAATGTCAAGTGTCAGAGCCGTGAGCTGCAGCTCCCTCTCTCAAAAGACTTTCATCATTCTACACATTGGGAAGCGGTCTGACATGTGTATTTAGACAGTACGTTTTGTTAATATATCCTTGGTGGGTAAAGGAGTGTTGTTTGGCCAAGCACACGGCAATGCCAATAAACCACTCATATATTCCTGAGACCTCATTTCAAAATCCTCTGCTGCGTAAGTACGGACACAATTATTTACATTCAAAATATGGGTGAAGAGTTGGAGAGAGTGTACATTTACAAAAGCTTACAAAATTAAGTAACAGAAAAAACAGTTTTATTATTTTCCCGATATTCAAAGTGACTTCATGTATATTTGATGTCATTGCTGGTATACCGTAACACTTCCAAAACAGTCAAAACCATTAGTCTGTATCCATGTATGTGTACATACGGCCAACTTTGATGTGGTCTTTGCCACATTAGTAAATGTTTTCAAATGAATGACACATTTAAATAAATTGTAGTGAGGTGGAGAGAAAGTCTGTGAGTATACAAGAAACCAAATGATGTAAGAGGCGCCTGAATATGTTCACGATAATACAATGTGCATTATTAACTTGTTTTTTGAATAAGGGACACACATACTTCCAACTACTCAAATCCATGAGTCAGTGTCTGTTTATTCCAGTACCCCAGTGTATTTCAGTTTGTAGTTCAGACAGAGATTTGCATTGCTGGTGCATGAGACAGCAACTAAGACTAACTAACACTCCTCCACCCAGCAGGGGTGAGCGGGAGGTGATGCAGCGGTGACTTTGTAGTTCTGCTGATGGTGTTTAATCAGCTGTGTACAGGTGGAAAGCATCTCCTATAATTGCAGATGGCTGCTGTTAGGAGACGCAGATTCCAGGCGGTATTAGTATACACCACACCGACTACACTCCTGTTTCTTCCTGTGTCATTTTATCACCCATCACTGAATAATCACACCCCAAATATCCCGCTCCGTTGCACACTGGCTCCTTCTCTCTTGTTCTCTCCCTACTTTCCGTCTTTGTCTTCCTTCATCTCTCTTCCATGATCCATTGCTTCATGAGGGCAAAGCTCTCTGGAGGGATGTCATTACGGATGCTGTATTGATGTCTGGATGCCTTGGTGAGCAAAACGGGCGCACCCTGCGGATGCTAACTTTATACGCACACACCTACGTATAAATCATAAGCCTAAAGCAGGTGGTTTTAGGTCAGTGATTACGTGTTACACTTGAGCAAGTAGGCTGTAGGTTGTTTTAAGATACATGTGGCTTTAAGTAGCACATGGAAAGGTCAGAAGTGCAGTCTTTCTCTATCAGCTGATCTTATTTGATTTTGAATCCTGTAAGTCCAACCGTAAGTGGAAATGAAAAATCCAATCATGGCATTTCTGCAGATTTCCTGTGCTGTAAGGTCACAACACCAGTCTCTCCTTCCATATGGGATATGATGTTATATCCACACACACAAACAGCGCTCTTGGAAGCTCCCACGGTTTCAATAACAAGACCCTGTGCTGTGTTGGAAGAAGTTCACCTTCCTATCATCTGAAAATATCCACTGCTGGCATGAATCCTCTGCGTTATTGATCTAGTGTTCTCGACGCCGCGGCCCTCTGGGAGGATTATGTTCTAATTGTGTTGCTTCTCCGCATCGCGTCGTGACGATAAGGAGGATTTATCCTCATGATCACTTGGCAGATTCTAGTGAGGATCTGGTTATTTAGCCGTTGGGTTTTTATATTACTGCATCCAAGCCCTTCTTAAGAGTGTGAAATATGCAAGACTCTCCTCTCTACCTAACATCCTCTGTGGTAAACTGTCGCCAGCCTGAAGCACAACTCAGTTACATTCAGCACAAACATCATATTAATGAATGCAGCGCTGTCATCACCACAGCTGTAACGCTCTCACACAGCTTGTACGTAACATGATGTGACAAATGATTTACCCACGCGGCATGAAAGGCTCTGGTACTATATTCCTCTTCCATCTTTTAATTACTCAGTTGTCCACTGAGAGGACCAGCGAGCATTTATGACATGCTAGCTGTCAATAATCTCTGCATTAATATTGGCGTTATTGATGTTACATTGTTTTTTTTCAAAACCACTGGAACGGTGCTTCTCCAATATATACTGCAATGTATTCTGTACTTGCTCTTGTCTGATACACTAACCCCTTTAATAGCTGTAATCTTGTGTTTTCACTCATAAGAAGTGAGCATTCTTAGGATGAACTAAGATCGATGTTGGAGACAAACAGTGTTTGAAGTGTGTTTGAGTGAGAGAAGGAGGGCACATTCATAACGGGAGATGTTAGCTATTCATGCAGTTATATACCTACTATAATCAAATCAGGAAATAAATACCAAAGCCATCAAAGCACTCCTCACAGGCACTCCTATTTGCACTACAAAGGCAATGCATCATATCTTCAGACTGTTTGGTAATTCCAGCAGGATTTTTATTGACCATCCCCTGACAGCGTGGAGTGATGGAGGAGAGGTGAAGCAGGGAGAGGTGAGGAGAAAGGTGAGAGCACTGACAAGGAGGGGAGGAAAGAAGAGAGAGAGGGAGAATGAGATTGTATGGCTGCGGCTCCAAACAGCAGCAGACTGCAAAGAGAAACATTCAGCAACACATCGATCTGGACCCTCCTGACGTCTGTGTTGGCACTGAGAATACAAAGGCACTGTTCTCTCTGTCACTTCCTTTTTATGAGATTCAGTTACCTCTATGTTGTTTAAAGAGGACCTATTATGCTTTTTTGGATTTGCCCTTTTCTGTAGTGTGTAACACAGATTTGTGTGTACAGTAAATGGTCCAAAAAGCCTGGGAAATCCCTGTGTTCCCTCCAGAGGGAGTTTCTCTCCCACACATTCCCCCCACCGACTGAAGCGCATCCATTGGACTCCTTTGTTTACTTACGGAACATAGTGACATCATATGTAACACTTTCGCTCCTATTGGCTAGCGCTCAAACACATTGTAGGTGATAGGCTAAGGGGCGGGACATCTCAAAGTGGTTGACCTATCACAACAGAGCCGGCCAGCTAACCAATCAGAGCAGACTGGGCTCTGGTTTCAGACAGAGGGTGAAAAGAGGTGCTGTAGCACAGGCAGTATGAGAAAAATAAAGAGCTTTTTGAACATTCAAGCATGGAGACATGTCCCAGTAGAGCAGTGGTTCTCAAACTTTTTCTGTCAGGCCCCCCCTTTGGAGAAAAAAAAAAGTCGGGCCCCCCCAACACAAAT